TGTGTGTGTGTGTGTGTGTGTGTGTGTGTGTGTGTGTGTGTGTGTGTGTGTGTGTGTGTGAGTGACAGAGAGAGAGAGGTCAAAGTGTGGAGTGAGGAGATTGAGCGCAGCCAATCAGCTGTCTCAGTCTGTGTCATGTGACCTGTTTTTTTCTACAGGCTGCAGTTGATCATTAGTTTACAGATTTAATCAGAACCTCTAGACACAGTTTAACAAGACCAGACTCTGACCTCTGGGTCCTCTTGTCTCACTGGTCTCACTGGTCTCACTGGTCTCACTGGTCTCACTGGTTTCTCTTGTCTAACTGGTCTCACTGGTCTCTCTGGTCTCACTGGTTTCTCTTGTCTAACTGGTCTCTCTGGTCTCTTTGGTCTCTCTGGTCTCACTGGTTTCTCTCGTCTCACTGGTCTCACTGGTTTCTCTTATCTAACTGGTCTCACTGGTCTTCCTGTCTCACTGGTCTCTGGTCTCTGTCAGGAGGAGAAGCAGCGTCTGGAGAACCAGCTGTCTGGGATTCCTAAGATGCAGCAGAGACTGGCAGAGCTGTGTGTCCTGCTCGGGGAGAGAGAGGGGGAGGAGGAGGAGTGAACAGATGAAGAGGAGCCGCTCTCCTGAGTTTAAACTGGGATAGAAGAAATGTGCTGCTTTTACTGGTTACCATGGAAACACACACAGCGGGTCGATCATGTGACTGAAACTGATGTTAAACTTAAATATGATGTGAAACCCTGTTTTATCCTACTGGACTGGGCTGGGCTGGGCTGGGCTGGACTGGTCCGGTCTCTTCTGGTCGGGTCTGGTCTACAGGATTTGCTCTCTGCAGTCAGGCCCCAGATAAACATCTATAAATCCTCCCAGAAATCACATTATAACATTATGCTGCAATTCACCCCCCCTACCCCCATCATGCCCAGAGGTCCCTCTTTGAGGTCATGTGATTTTTAATTGTGCCATTTTTAATCTTTTACTGTTTATACAATCAAATGTTTTTACAGAGAAACTGTTATATATTATAATTATTATACTCAATCAGCTGATCAATCAATCAATAAACTGCTGCTGAGGAGTTTAAATGATAATGTTCAGATGAACTTTATTTAGTACAAAATTATAATAACCTTTATGTGTGTCAAGCTTTTCAAAATAAAGTCACAAATAATTTAGACAAAACAAAGAAGTTTGAACATAAAGAATAAAATGAGTACACAGAAACCTGTTGTTTTTAAAGTTCCTGCTTCTTATTCTCATCTGGTCTCTTCACACTTTAAAACTTCACAGTCTGTTTCATTTAAAAAACAGACAAATGTACTGTTGGTTTGTCACACACTGCACTGAAGACGTTTTTCTACATCATATAGTTGCAGTTACTTTACTCTTTAAGATTTTATTTAAAAAAAACATAAATTTATGTGGTTTGAGATTAAACCATTGATTTCCAATATTTCTGTCATGTGACCCTTCACAAAAGCAATCAGAATCTACTTCAGGCTTCTCCACATTTCAGTCTAGAACCTGAATCCAGATCAATGAATGTGTTCTTCTTTCCCATAAATCATTTGGCAGCCCCTCAGATTTATCTGGTGGCCCTGTGGAGGGGCCTGACCCCAAGGTTGGGAACCAGTGGACTAAGGTATCTAAGTGTTTCTGATGTAGTTAGAGTAGCTACAACAGTAGCATGACTCAGGATCAATGATCTGATCAGAGATCAGCCACAGGAGACAGTTCACTGCACAGGAAGTACTTTTACTGTGATACTGTAACTACAGGAAGTACTTTTACTGTGATACTATGACTTTAGGAAGTACTTTTACTGAGTACTCATGATAATGTAGTAGTAACTACTGAGTACTCATGTAATGTATTAATAATGTAGTAATACCTGAGTACTTATGTAGTACTGATGTAATAATGTAATAACTACTGAGTACTGCTGTAGTAATGTAGTAAGAACTACTGTGTACAAATGTTATAATGTAATTACTGAGTACTGATGTAATAATGTATTAATAGCCACTGAGTACTGGTGTAATAATGTAGTCATAAATACTGAATACTGATGTAATAATGTAATAATAACCACTGCGCATTGATGTAATAACGTAGTAATAACTACTGACTACTGATCTAATAATGTAGTAATGTATTTAGTGTAAGGTATCATGTGTGATCTCATCATCTACAGTTTAAATCCTGGGTGAACTCTGTGTGGCTCAGTGTCACTTTAACTAAAAAGATGAAAACAGGCTCTTGTTGGGTGTGGGAATCAGTATCTAATCAATAATCAATATCCTCGGAAACCTCAGGTGTTCAGAAGGTTTGTCTCATTAAAACATGATCAGCTTGAGTCTGAGCACATTTTTCCCACGTTAACTGAGTCCTGCTCAAAGTGACGAATGACACCCTGTGAGCCAGGCACGGAGACTGCGGCAGGTTGTCGGTTTTGTTCCCTGCAGAAGAGCCAGGCACTCCTGCCGCTGCTGAGGAGCGTCAGAAAAGCTTGTCGGCGCGGCGCGGAGCGGGGCGGGGTCTCTGTCGGACCTGTTGTGCGGCTCTCGGTGCTGAACGATCAGGTTTGTGTCTCTCCCGGCCGTCTGCGGGTTTTCTGGAAGTTTCTCCGTGCGGGTCGAACTCCGGCGGACCGCGGAGCAGCCTGCCGAGCTCAGGTGAGTCTGACACGGATCCAACTGTCCCTCTTTCCACGGCGCCAACTTGTCCCGAGCTGCAGCTGCTGCAGGAAGGAAGGAGCGTGTGTTTGAGTCAGGCGTGTCTGACAGCCCCGCGCCAGACTCGGTTCAGAAATCTCACGGTTTTAAATGTTATCGCTTGTCTGAGAGCGTGAACCGGAGAGAAGTGACTGAAGGTGGTGTTTTAGGACCGAGAGGCCATGATCTTCCATTCGGCGACAACAGTTTAAGTCAGTGTCTGTAGTTATTGTCGGTTCCCCGGGTTGAATTCACACGGCCGTTAAATACACAGCGGCAGTGGCTGGTAAGCAGCGACTTTGAAAGTAGATGTTTCTGTAACGGTGTCTGGCTGGTGTCACATTGTACAGCAGAATGGAGATTGAATCTGCCCCTCAGGTCAGTTCATCATGTTTCTTTCTTTCTCAATGGAAACCTGGAAATGTTTTTATTGCAGTCTTATTAGTAACTGTCAGTGTGTCGGTGTTCCCAGCCTGTCCTGGCACGGCAAGGTTCAGCCCGCAGCCGCATACTGAATAGCTGACATTCCAACACACACACACACACACACACACACACACACACACACACACACACACACACACACACACACACACACACTGCTGCTCTAGTGTGTTTGTGGCTAAAGTGAATTTAGAAGTCACCTTTGCTGATGTTGTTATATAAGGGAAGTCTGAATGACGTGACTCTCTAAACGAAAACAATGAAGACAATAACTGCACACACCCCCCAACCCCCACCCCCGCACACACACACACACACACACACACACACACACACACACACTAGAGGAAGTTGGTCACCCTGCTTCTTGCAGTGAGATATTTAGTCCTGAAGAACTGAGTCTGGGTCAGTACCGTGCCTGAGTGGACAGACTGTGTCACAGGTGTGTTTCAGCTTCCTGTCCTGTCTTCTAATTGATAGATCGATAACACCTCAACTGTGTGGACCTGTGTCTTTTTTTACTTGGTCTCAGATCTGCTGTGTGGAACTTTGATGTGAATGATAAAAACACCAACCTGAGTTACTGAAGGTCTTATAACTAGATTTGTGACACACTTCAAGACGTGCAGTGGGTCCAACAGGGGCCCAGGTTCTCATTTTGGCCCTTGGTCCCCAGGCAGGTTCATCTGGTCTCCCTGGAAACACAGATTATGGGGTGACTGTGACTCAGATACAGACCTGGTCAGGCTCGGTCCAGGTTGTGTCTGCTGAGTGTCTTGGTTCCTGCTGCTGTCGACTCGTTCACCTGCAGGGAAGGTGTCATCAAACACCTGTGTATAGCCTCAGTGTGTAGCCTCAGTGTGTAGCCGCAGCATGTAGCCTCAGTGTATAGCTACAGTGTGTAGCCGGAGTGTGTAGCCGGAGTGTGTAGCCGCAGTGTGTAACTGGAGTGTGTAGCTATAGCCGGGGCTGTGTTCGCTGTCTAACCGTGCTACAAGCTGCAATGTTTCATTAATGATACCAGTTGTTTCCCATCATATGATTTTTTTTGTTCTAGCAAAACATTAGAAACTGTAACGTGGGTCAGAGGTTTGATTTTTAAAACTGAGATGGTTTCACTGCTGAAACAACTTGAATGTGTTGTCCAGAATATGAAACATGCTTGGAATATTGGCTGAATCAGTTTTGATGAAAAAAACACTGGAGTTCACACAGAAACCCAGAGATTTTCACAGGTCATGACAGCTGACGTGAACATGAAGTGACACTAAATGAAACCCAGTAAACACACAGCACTGAAGCTGATTGGTTTTGGTTAAAGGTTCAGGTCATTCTCATTGGCTGTTGTAATAAACTATCTTTTGATTAATCACAGAGAAAAGTGAATCAGGTTTTCGAGCTGTGAGATGAATAACTGTCTGTGAATAGATGAATTGTTGAGTTCTGACTCAGGATGTTTGTCTGCAGCGGAGATAAATTTTTTCTAATGGATCTGCCTACAAGTACATTCCTGTTAACACACACACATATAATCAGTTGTTTTCTGAATGTGATCTTGGTGAAGAGACAACAGTGATACAGTCCTGAACATGTGCCCGCAGCGTGCAAATTAACACAAGGAAACCCGGGTCTCAGAATCGTGACAGTGACATCATTCACCGTCATCATCATCATCATCATCATCAGTGTGATTGGAAGATGATTTACTGAAACGTCCATTTGACTTAATCTGAAGGATTTAGTCTTGAGTCCAGATTCAGAGTCAGATACTGTTCTACCTAATCACCTCTAAATCTACACACAACCACACACACACACACACACACACACACACACACACACACACCACACATTGCACTTGTTGTTAATGCTGCTGAATCTGCAGGTTTAGCTCAACGTCTTTCACAGTCAAACTGAAAAGAATGCGACTGCCACACGTAACACCAGTAACAGTCATGAGTCAGTGCTTCCAGGTTTCTAACACTGACCTGCTACGAGTGAATGAAAACAGCTGTGTGTGTGTGTGTGTGTGTCCGCTGTGTGTGTGTGTGCTGAATCCCAATGTGTGTGTGTGTGTGTGTGTGTGTGTGTTGGTGGTGTCGCTGTGTAGTGGTGTGTGGTTGTGTGTGGTGTGTGTGTGTCATGCGTGCGTGTCTGTGTGTGTCGTGTTGTCTGGTGGGGCTGATTGAGGACGCGTCCCAGGAACAGGATATGACAGGATTTAACAGTAAACATCTGAGGACATGACTCTGAAAACAACTACGTGTTCTCTGTGGACTGCGCGGTTTGAATGTCCGCGGACAATTTTTCAGTTCACATTACAGACATGACGACAACACCAGAACAAAGTCTCTAACTCCAGGTTTGTTATGTTCCCAGCTCAGGGACAGCATCTATACCTACGTAAGGACGTGTTTGGCTTACCACACAGTCGTCTACAGTCTATTTGGACCAAACTCAAAGTCTTTGTTACACTTTTTGCATCAGTGAACGACAGTTCTGTCCCTCCTCTGACCGCTGCACCCCCTCGTACCCCTGTCCTCCCTTTGACCCCTGTCAGCAGCGGTCCCACCACTGCTGACTCTGTTGTTTCAGCAGATGACTCAGTCTTCTGACCTGCTTCACAGCTTCAGTAAGTTTGTGTGAGCAGCAGTGAAACATGCTGTCTTGTTTTGTTGTAAGTTTGTGTTGTCAGTTGTAAAACAAAGAGAGGGAAAGTTTCCATTAACCTGCAACCAGAGAAGTGGGTGTGTGTGTGTGTTGTGTGTGTGTGGTGTCTGGTGTGTCTGTGGTCGTACATGTGGTGATGTGTCTGATTAGCAGTCAGTTCTTATACAAATCTGTTCGACCATCGTGTTTAAACTCAACTTTACACACTCTGTTCTCTGTGTGTGTGTGTGTGTGTGTTGTGTGTGTGTGTGTGTGTGTGCGCGTGTGCACGTGTGCACATATGCTCCTGGGAGTATGTTGTTGTCACATGTATTATGTATGGGCACATACCAGACCAACAGGTGGCTGCAGTGTGTGTTGTGTGTGTGTGTGTGTGTTGTGTGTGTGATACCTGCAGCGTTACCTGTTGTTGTGCGTTTCACTTCATTTGTCTAAAAATCAAAGACAGTATTGGTT